ATATGTATATATATATATATATATGTATATATATTAAGAAAGAAAAATAGATAAACCTGAACCCAGAGTGTATTTTTACGTGCGGCAGTTTTGAGAAAGTAATCTGTTCCCCAGCGAATGGCAGCTTGAATATTTATAAGCTCACCAGCAGCTTGGAGCTGATTGTTGTAGGCGAGGGCTGCCCAAGCTAAAGTGGTTACTGTGAACGCCATCGGCAAGCCGAACTTCACGTTGTCCCCCGCATCATAATATCCGCCTGTAAGATCTAACTGCAATTTAATATTATCAAAGGAAGAAGAGTTAGAATTAGTTTTTAAGATCAGCAGAAATTAAATTCAAATAACAGTATATAATTTTTAAGATCCTTATTTCCTTGATAGACTAAAATACTTATGCAGGATTCAATAAGCATGCTGTTTTGCAGTTCTGGAACATATGACAAATTCAAATTGTGATAAGGTGTTAAAGAAGTTTCGTGGATACAATTTTGCTAGAAATTTAATAAATGAGATTGGGCTCTTTTGATGAAATGATGTCAATATCAAGGTGGTGATAGATGAACCTCAGTTCCTTCATGTGTCTTTTGAGAGGGAGTTATTACATGGGTGGGCTTCTTTTGTATATGCTAGCTCCATTCCTTTTGCTAGATGTGATCATTGGAGCAAATTGATTCATATAGGGGCTATGTTGAGGGAGAGTTGGATGGCCGGTAGTGACTTTAACATGATAATGAATAATTCTGAGAAAGTTGGAGGTAGAAGGGTGAATCCTGGTCTTATTAATAGGTTTTGTGATGCTGTGAGTGAAGCAGGTTTGTTTGATCTTGGCTTTGTTGGGTTTAAATTCACTTGAAAAAGAGAAAAGGTTTTTGAAAAACTTGTCAGTTGCTTTGCAAATCAGGGGTGGATGTCCAATTTTAGTATCTCAAGGGTTCAACATTTGAACAGCTCAGGTTCTGTTCATTAGCCTATTTTATTAACTATTGCTTTCTTTGAAAATTTAGATGCATGTCATTTTTTATATCTAAATGTGTGGTAAAGGCACCAGGATTTCTTGAGGGTGGTTAAAGAAATTTGAAAAGTTAATGAGGTGAGGAATGCATGGTTTATTCTGTGAAAACTTCGTAAAAAAAGTGGCTAATGCGTTGAGAGGTTGGAATTGGAACACCTTTGGTGTTGTACACCAAAAAGGCAAGGTATGTTGAGGATGAAGTGAGGAATTTGGAACTTATAGATGGAGTGGGATGAGTTGGTGGAGGGTCTGACAAAAGCTCACTATGAGTTGTTGCAAGTTATCGAGTGGGAGGAAGAGTTACTAAAGCAAAAGGCTGGAGAGGTGTAGTTCAAGGAGGGTGACCAGAATTCTAAATTCTTTCATGCTTGTACTAAACAAAAGAGCAATCTGAATGATATTATGAGAATTTAGGGTAGTCATGTTAATTGGATTACTGATCAGAAGGAATTGGGCGAGAGTGTTGTGGAGTATTTTCGAAAGCTATTCTCTGAGGAAGACCCAGTTAATCCAATTAAGGAGGATAATTTTAAAGAAGGGAAGAGCTTTACTAGTAAGTTAAATCTTTGTGAAATACCGAATGAGGAGGATATCCTTTATGCTCTAAAGAATATTGATTGCAAGAAAGCAACAGAACCTGATGGATTTACATTATATTTTTACATTTTGTGTTGGGATATTATTAAAAAGGAGGCGACTGGGGCAATTCAGAGTTATTTTAGGGTAGATGACCCTGGACTATTGTTCTCTTCATCTAGTATTATCTTGGTTCCAAAAATCAGAAAAAATCTACATGGGATCAATTCAGACCTATATGCTTAACATCTGTGCTTGCTAAAGTGATTAGTAGGATAATGGTGTACAAAATACAACCTCATCTTCCTTTTTTGATTTCTCCTAATCGGTCGGCCTTCACTAAGGGTGAAGGTATCAAATATTGCATCTTACTTGCTCAAGGGCTGATTAATGATCAGAATTAGAAGTGCAAGGGTGGTAACATGATCCTCAAACTAAATATAAAAAGGCTTATGAATTAATAAGTTGGGACATAATCATCAATGTATTGAAAGGCAGAGGTTTTAACAATATTTTTTGTGGGATAAAATGAAGATGGTTGAATTGCAATAAGTATAATATACTCATTAATGACAACACATATGAGTTTTTCTAGGCTAGAAGGGGCATAAAACAAATCGATCTGTTATCAACTATCATTTTTATAATTGCTTGTGATTATATTTCTTTGATGGTGAACAAGATGCAGAAGCTTAACCCCAAGTTGCAATTCTCTCACAAGGCAAGGATAATGGTTAGTTATTTGACCTATGTCGATGATGATATTCTTTTCTCTACTGTTGGTAAAATTGATTTTAAACAAACATATAATTCGCTAGAGAAGTTTCAGGGCATGTCAGGTATGGATTTGAGTAAGAGTAAATGCAGCATCATAGTAGGGAAACCTGTTAAAAAAAGAGATGAAAAAATGGATGACAGAATATACAGGTTATTCTATTGCTGAATTACCTATCAAATATCTTGGGTTGAAACTTTTGAGAGGAAGAAGGAAGCAAACTCAGATGGATTTTGTGGTGGAAAAAATTAAAAATAGGACAATGGACTGGAAAAATAAATTTTTTTATTAAGGGGGCGATATTACTCTTATTATAAGTGTGTTGAATAATATTCCTATATATGCTTTATAGCTGTTAAATTTGAAGGGTACCACTCAATTGATCCTTGAGAGGTATTTTCATAAATTTATTTAGGCTGGAAGAAAATCTATAAAAATATGGGTGGGTTGGAAAAAAATGTGCAAACTTGTTAGTGCTGGAGGACTGGGCTTTAAGGAACTCCACCATACAACAGAGGTAAACTATATCAAAACGTGGTTCAAATTTAAAGAATGGGCGTCACTGTGGGCTCGTTTTATGCATGAAAAATATTGTAAAGAACAACACACTTTTATTGTTTATTGGAGGGTTGGCGACTCAAAATTATGGAAAGTTATGATAAGGGACGGGTCTTGGGCCGAGAAGCACATCTATTGGGATGGTGAAGATGGAAGGATTTCCTTTTGGAGGGATAATTGGGTATTACAGGAACTTGATTGGGAGGCTGTTGACTTCACTTTTGGTTGATGTCTAGCTTTCTCCTCTTTAGTAGCCTAGGGTCTAGCCATAATACTTTCCTGTTGACTATTTATAGAGAACTAAAAAAAGAACCCTCACCATTAGAAACTCTAAACTCTTCCATGCTCAACTTGAAAGTTTCATATATTGGTTCTAACCTCCAACACCTAATAGGTGGGATCAATATGGGGGAGCTCAAGGGGAGTCCCCATAGGATTGTTTGGCCTTAGAGTCAACCCTCTGGGTTTTGTTCTTGTAGTGCACACACTTTCACCCCACTCACAACCCTAAAACCAAGGCTTATTGACTTTAATCCCTTGATCTTTTGAGAGACTCATGTAGATGATCCCTTAGACTTACTAGCCTTAGGCTAGGGTCTAGCTAAAACCAGTGCATAGAGGACCCAAATGGAGATTCCGTTGGTCCATAGCTCAAATGGAGTGGTTGACACCTCAAGTTCACCAAAATCCACAATTTAGTCTTTTGCCCCCAAATCTACCCAATTTACTAAAACACTCTCAAACCCTAAATTTGACCAAAATTTCTAATTTCACTCAAAACACCCAAATTTGTTCAAAAATCATTTCAAACTACCCAAATTGCCCAAAATATCAAAAAATTTCCAAAATTACCAAAATACACAAAAAAATACCAGAATTACAAAAATGCCCTTAGTGACCCAAACTTTCCCAAAACCCTCAAAATCACTTCAAATGTCCTCAAAATCAATTTTAAGAACTTCATTGAGCTCAATTTGACCAATATGACACATTTTGACTAAAAGCCCCAAATTGCCCTTAAAGGCCTAATTACCTCAATTCATCTCAAATGCCCATCAATTTGATCTCGATTTCCCCCAATTTCAATTTTGAACTCAAATTCATTATGATCAAACTCAATACAAACCAAATCTCAACCCAATTAAATCATTCTTTGAGCCCAATTTCAACCTAAATCCAAAACCCCCAATTTTGCCTCAATTAGTCATGTCTCCAAATGTCATCAAATTGAAAGCCCAAACCCTAAAATTGACACCCAATTAATGTTGAGAACTTTTCATAACATCCCCCTAGATCAAACTGAACCATCAATTGGGCTATAACCAAACCCTAGCCTAACCCAAACCCAAGCCTAACCCAACATCCCCAAATTTGACCAAATGTCCAATTACCACCAAATTAAACTCCCAAATAAATTCAAAATCACTCCAAATCTTTTCTAAACCTCTTATGACAACCATCTACACCAACTTGATCAATCAATTGAGCTTGAACCAAAATTTTGATGAAAATTGAATTTGACGTGTTTTTTATCCGATCGTCGACGAAGTTGCCCAAACGACCCCGGATGACGAAACATACTGCTCTGACACGTCCAAAACATCGATTTTACTTAAGGGGGGATGTTCATTTTACTGCGAGGACGCGTCCGGACAAAAATACTGTAAAGATAATTATATTATTATTATTATTATATAACAATAATAATATAATATAAAAAAAATATTATATCCTAAATCCCTAAGCTTTTAAGGTAGACTTCTTCCTCCCTTCTAGGCTATAAAAACCCCATTTGGGGGAGTTTTAGGTGTGGCCGAAATTTTGGAGAGGAGGGCAGGTGCTGCCAAAATTTAGTTGGTTCGCTTGGTATCCTTGCTTGGGGGCTCAATATTCTTGCGTGACTGCTCGTTTGGTTACTGAGGTATTAGCTTCTTGCTTCATTGCTCAATATTCTTGTTGGTTGGTCGTTGTTCTGGCTTGGTTGTTGAGGTTGATGTAATCACCTTTTCTCCTAATTTTCCTCTTTTATTTTAAAGAGCGACAATCATGTTTGCGTGATGCTCACTCAATTTGCATATGTGATTGTATGAGAAGCTGTGGATGTTAGGCATAATCAACTAGGTGAGAAATGCATAAACCATAAACGATGACATGTTCATATGCAAAATAATGGGAGAGGAAAGAACATAAATGTGGGGGTGTTTCTTTTTTTTTTTCCCTGAAGTTCATATTTGACGGATTTTGGGGTTTTTGAGTTGTTGGGCGGCCCTGCAGCGAGAAAAGAGGAGTTTAGAACATGGGAAAAGCTATTTGAGCATGGTTTTATTTAAACTTTTCTAAATCTAATAC